AGCAGATAAAATTCTTCCTTCTCTATCCTCCCTGTTTCCCCAAATCCTTGCAATTCTTCCAACCTGTCACCAGCTGAAGTCACCAATGCACCGAAGCTCTCCAACGAGCAGAAACCGTGTTGAAGGAGACTGTGCCACACCCACATTCTACTAAGGTTGTTGCAGATGAGCGGACAGTTCCTTTACCTCTTGCTTCTGATCCACTCTCCTTGGGATGCTAGACTAGATAGACTACACTGTGGGAAGCATCTGAATGGCGGCCACCAAGCAACATTGAGAAATACCGTCTCCCGGCAGGCGTGGTGAGGCACACCCTTAATCCCAGCGCCTGGGGAGGCAGAGGCAGGTGGACCTCTGTGAGTTGGAGGCCAGCCTGGTCTACAAAGTGAGACCGCCAGAGCTACACAGAGAAACCTTGTGTCGAAAAACCAGAGGTGGGGGTGGGGGGAGAAATACTATTTCCTTGTCCTCTCACTGAGTCACAACATCAGAAATACGTCAGGGCACAGGAATAAACACTCTCACTCATCTGCCCACCAATTCCCATGAGGCCACGGTGACCACCTTCATTCGGTTACCGTGTTCGAAGTCTCAAACCCCACATAATCAGTGTCTAGAGCCAACCAAAACAGCTGCTGGCTCTACTCTAGGCCTAGATCTACCTGAGCTCCATTTAAACTCAAGCCAGGAGCAGCTGGAGAGACGGCTCAGGAGTTAAGAGCACTGGTTGCTCTTCCAGAGGACCCGGGTTTAGTTCCCAGCCCCTAAGAGGCAGCTTCTGTTACTCTAGTCCCAGGGGATCCAACACCCTCCTCTGGCCTCCACCAGCACCGTGTGAATGTGCTACAGAGACATTAATGCAGACAAAACTCCCAAACAGATAAAACACTGAAATAATCTGTAAACATTTAACTACAAAATAGGATTTTGCCATATGGATACAAATGTCTTCCAACAGTTTTCGTTGTAAAAAAAAATGATGTTTCCTTATGACATTTTCACACATATATACAGTGTATTTTTCTCACAGTCAATGTCTGCCCCAGATAGTCCCCACCTGTTGGTAGTTTTTTTTTTTTTTTTTGTTCTTCCTGGAAACATTGTTTCTTTCTTCCTATAGCTCGAAAAATGTAGTTACACTCTCTTGTTACATGTGTTCCTTGGTCAGAAGCTGTGTTAAGTAGACAATCATGACAATGGATAGGGATTTTGCACCAGAGTTTTGCCTTTAGTTTTCTTATAGCTGTAAAATAGTGAAGTAACTGACCAAACAAACAAACAAACAAATACCTTGAGGGAGGAAGGGTTTACTTTAGCACATGCTTGACAGCGACACATTTGTCACAGCAGAGAAGGCACTTGTAGTCGTAAATGTTATTACGAGGTAAAAATGCATTATCCCCAAATTCAGCTGCTAAAGCCTTGGATGTCAGGACCTCAGCACTCGGCTGCATTTGGAAACAAGGTCTATAAAGGAATTAAGTTAAAATTAGGTCATTAGGGTAGACCCAGATCCAATTATGATTGTATTCTAAGAAAAAGGGAGATCTAGACACAAGCAAATAGGGAAGAAAATGAGAGTTATTTACACATCAAAGATAGGGGTTTGGGACAGATCATTCTCTCATAGCCCTCAGGGAAAAAAACAATCCTGCCGTCCAGTGGTCCTGGACTGCTAACCTCTAGAACAGTGATTCTCAACCTGTGGGTTGTGACCCCTCTCAGGTGTGTGTGTGTGTGTGTGTGTGTGTGTGTGTGTGTGTGTGTGTGGAGACGATTGAATGACTCTTTCACAGGGGTGGCATATCAGATACCCTGCATTTCAGATATTATTTATATGACAATTCATAACTAGCAAAATTGCAGTTAAGAAGTAGCAACAAAAATAATTTATGGTTGGGGAGAGGGTCACCACAACATGAGGAACTCTGTTAAAGGGTCCCAGCATTAGGAAGGTTGAGAATCCCTGGCCTAAAACAAGAAAGACAAATTTCTAATGCCTAAGCTGCCCAGCCTGTGGGACTTTGTTATAGAAACTCTAATAACTAGTATGTGCAAAGAGAATACTAGGACAATCAGGTCAGGAACGGCTGTCATTTTGTTCGTTGATACACTCTGCATACCCAGTGTGCTATCGGGCACACGTTGGATAGTCAATAAACATTAGCTGAGTGAGCTTATAAAGCAGATTAATTAATTAATTAACTAACTAATTAATTAATTAAAGCAGAGTGTCCCTTAGATAAATCTATTAAATACCAACACTGCTACCTATAGTAATACCTTCCCCTGTAGGTCCCCAAAAGCTGGACTCCCCATAACTTACCACATACTGTGATATAGTGGATCTGCTGCTACACCCCAAGTGAGCAAAATTCCCCGGTGATGATTCACTGCGGGAGCAATTTCCTGAAGAAGACAAAAGACAAAAGACAAAAAAAAAAAAAAAAAAAAAAAAGTCTTATTGTGATGATGCAGTAAATTGGAATTAACCCACCCAGAGAAACATCAGATTTACCAGGCTGACACAAACACACATCTTGTTGTTCCTGTTTCTGGAGGGTATTTGGCTAGCTGACTTCTTTGAAGGCAGCAAGAACAGCCCGGATCAGCAGTTTAAAGGGTCAGATAATTAAGGACTTTCCTGTTCCTACTGAAGCATTTCTTAGGAACACAGGAAAAAGACTAATTAAATTTTCTCAGGACTCATTCATTTACGGATTCGTGGCATGTCTTTCCACCCCATCTCCATGTCCTAATGTCATCATCATCATCATCATCAATCAATATTTAATTTGGTGACCTGAATACACTAGTCAAATGACAGCAATATAAAGGAAAAAGCAATGAAGGATATATATGGTTGTTAAGGCACCTTGATGCCCTTTCAGAGGACCAGAGTTTGGTTCCCAGCATCCATGTTGGGCAACCCACAACTGCCTGTTACTCCAGCTCCAGGTTCTCACACCACCTCTGACCTCCAGGAGTGCTACACTCACACGCACAATCCCACACACATACATGAATGAAAAAAAGAAATAAAAAGGAGGACATGACTGCTCCCAGGCACGGTGGAGGAGAAAGTGTACTGTAGATAAAAGAGAGAGCACAGCCAGAGGCAAAGACATCTGGGAGAGTCCAGAGTGAACATGACCCTGAGCCAGGCCACTTGAGCAGAAGAGGGAGGGGACAGCCAGGAGAGTAAAGGTAACCAAAATGGCTGGACTATGTAGAAAGGGGCAGCTTTCGGAAGGGCAGCCCACCCCTGGGCTGAAGAACTTTAGGGTGGAGGGGTGGGGTATGCCAGTCATACCTGTAACAGGTAGGGAACGGTGGCCAGGTCTGCTTTCATATGTTAAATAGGTACCTCAGTTGGCCATTTGTCCCTGGCTTGAGACCAAACAATACACATAATTAAAAATAAAATATTTTTGAAAAAGTTGTCAAAATTATGAAAGGGGCTGGAGAGATGGCTCAGTGGTTAAGGGTATTTATGCTCTTGCAAAGGACTGGGTTCGGTTTCCAGCACTCATATGGTGGTTTTTAACTATCAGTAAGTCCAGTTTCAGGGCATCCAACACCATCTTCTGAACTCTGCAGGCACACGAGCAATACACAGACGTACAGGCAAAGCAAAACACTGGCGCACAAATCTTTAAAACTTATAATAATAGTTATAAGAAGTGATAAAATTGTAAGCAAATTTATTTTCTATTGATCCATAGCTCCACCTAAAATTCCGTTTTTAAGGCCCGAAGTTCTCTTAGAAAACACTTTTTAAGAACAATTTGTCTACATGAGCATGTGTGCAGGTATGTATTCAAGTGTGTGAACCTTTGTGCGAATGGAGGTCAGACTCTGCAGAGCTGGAGGGTGCCAGGCTGTATGGGCATTAGTGATACCAGCTGGCACGTGGCTGCTTTCTTTCTTTTCTTTTCTTTCTTTCTTTTTTTTTTTTCTCTCTTTCCTCTGTCTGATAAGAAATTAAAAGACAGGAAAACAGCTTGGTGCAAAACAAAAACTTACTGGCAAGTTATGCAGACTTCTCAGACTTTTGAGGGCTCCAGAGCTGACAATCACTTATGCTAAGGGGCTGAGTTTTTATGTGGGTTCAATTATCCTTTTTTTATGATATCCCTGTTTTACTGGAATTTTGTGCCCCTTTTCATGTAGTGGTTTGGTCCCTTGCTCAGTCCACGAACATCTCTCTCCCCTCCATCTTTCTTTGCCTCTGCTTCAGGGGCCCACAGCACCCCTGGGATCCAAACTCCCTCCTTATGATGGGGGACCAAGCCATCTCTCCAGGCCTCTTTTGGAAAATTCTAACTTCTGATCATTATGGAAAATTTTAAAGGAGATATCTGCTGTGTGTGTGTGTGTGTATGTGTGTGTGTGTCTGTGAGCCGCATGAGTGTTTTGCTGCATGCATGTAAGTGCATTGCACATGTGTCTGACTTTCTCAGAGACTTTTCAAGAGTGAGTGGATCTGTGGAGCTGATGTTACAGGTGGTTGCGAACTTCCCATTGTGGGTGCTGGGAATTGAACTCAGGTCCTCTGAAAGAACATGAAGTACTCCTAACCACCGAGACATAGTTTATTTTTTATTTTATTAAAACACTCTTAGGGCATTTATTTATTAATTTGTTCTCTGCCAAAATTTCACATTAGCTTAAAGTTCAATTCAGTCTTTACATTTCTCTGAGGTTTATTATGTATTATGAAGCCCCCTTCTCCGTCAGTCAGTGTGACCAGCGTCCACATAAAGAGACCCATGTTGGCCTTTCTGTTCCTCTGGTGAACCAACTGGATGTTAACACTGCTCTGCTACAAGGCAACAGCTTCTAACTCAAACTCATCTGAAAAGGTGAGACTTCTGCAAAGTGCACTTTGAAGAAGAGGCACTTTTTGCTTATGAAAAGAAACCGGTGAGTTCTCTAAGAATAAGAAAAGGGAGTATTTGACGGTTAAGCACGTGATTTGGAGCGAAGACTTCAGATGTTGCTCTGCTGGTCCAGGCTGCTTAACACTCTTCTTGTTCCTCCTGTGGGCCCCCTTCATCGGGTATCACAAAGCCTTCTTCTGTGGCATAAAGAATATCTACAATTCCCTGCAGTACGGGGTCATTTTCCCCCTCATTCTCCTGGCAAACCAGTTCAATGTTCCTCAGCTCTCTGAAGTAGAAGTCTCTCTCCTTCTCCAAGTCTTCAACAGTAAGCTTCAACTCTTTGACCTGCTGCATCAGGTCAGCTGCTTCATCGTCCCCATCGCCCACACCAGGATTCTTCTGCACCATCCCTGGGCCAGCCTTAGGAGCTGCAGTAGTTCTCTGTGTTGCAATGGGTCTCTGTGGAGCTGCAGTCCTGGAGCCAAGAGGTTTCTTCGGTTTACTCAGAGCTGGAGCGACAAGAGAAGGAGCCAATGCAGTTCCTTGACCTTGTCTGGCAGCTACAAGGTCATACTCTTTTCCATCATAATTCGCATCAAAAAACTTCTTGAACCATTGAACAAATTCGAAATTGTCCTGAAATTTTCCTTTTACTAATTTATTCACAGGAATTATTTTGTCAACACCCATCCTCTTGAAACGTGCTTGTAGTATTTTGAAGTTCTGAATATATTCAGGTCCTAGCTTAGCTTGAGATTTCACTTTCTTCAAGGCAATGGAGCCAGGGAAGAGCATGTCCACAAACTGAGAGTGTGCAGCCCCTGAACACAACTGTTCTATCTTTGTCAGATTCAGCTGCAGAGATCCTTTGGTCCAGGCCAGCATATCATGTCGACCCAGGTTGTCACTGATGACTGAGGTCAGGTACACATTCACTGCCATCTTCGGCTCTCAGGGGACCTGCATCCACTGACCGCGCGCCCGGCTCTGGTTCCGTCTTTGTCTCATTCAAACCGTCGGACCCATGGTTTATTTTTAAACTACGTTTAAACCATGCATTTATAGAAAGTGTGTGAAAGCCAAAATAAATCAGTGTTATGGGCAAATGGAAGTCAAAATATTTAACTCAGAATTGGAAACTCTCATCTATTCCCAAAAGTTTGTTCTTCATCTGGGGCCCAGAACTAATGGCTGAACTGATGCAATCTGAACAGAGTGCCAGCAAATGTTTACCAAACCCTCTGTCCCAAAGGGCGGTGCCTCAGAAATGACGTGGGTCGGGATTGCCTTGAGAGTTCAGTTCCATAGCAGTACAGACAAATACACTTTGAAACACCATTTTTCTTTCTAGTAAAAAAAAACAAAAAACAGTGAAACCTAAATGTTTTACCACACTATGCAAAAAAGGCTTAATTTCCTCCTTGCTCTGCTTTCCTGAGAATCACAGCAGGAAGTTCATGTCTCTGTGACTTATTTATGGCAGAATGGAAAAAAAGAAAAAAGAACTGTGGACTTTGTCAAGGATGATTCCAAGGGAACAGACCATTAAACTACGATAGCCCCCTCCTTCCCTGCTAAACAGCTTGTGTCTAAAAGGCCAATAATGTGATTACATGAGCCGTGACACCCTCGCCAGGACTATAAGCAGTTCTTTGAAAGCATTTGACCTATTGTATGGGAAGTCAATTTGGGAGAGCTGAATTGCAAGGTTTAAAAACCTCCACCCTCAAGCAAAGGTCGTCTTGATCCCTTGCCACCATTACGTGCTCCTGTTTTCTTCTGGACAGCATCAGCGCTCCAGTGCTATAAAGTCAAGAAGAGGTTTTCATTGCATGATAGGGGGTCATCATAAGGCATCTGCAATTACACAGCCCGCACTGATTACATTAAAAGACACGCACGCACGCACGCACGCGCGCGCGCGCGCGGGGCGGGGGAAAGGGAGATCTTGGCAGTGACGAAAAACCTGTATTTTTATAACAGTGTTTATAAGACTGTAGGTGTATGGTCAAATGGCATGTTTATGTACTCATTCTGCCAGGGTTACTACATGTAAAGAAGAGATAACTATACGACTACCGTGGGTAGAGGCTGCTTCTGACGGCTGTAATGTCTCTTCAGCTTTCTGTGATCCTGTGCTTATCCAAAATAACATGCCTTTAAAAGTTTTTTATGTTAACATTTCCCAGAACAGTCTGCGTTAGGGCTAACTAGGAAGAATAAAACAGCAGTAGTTTTTTTTTTTTTCAAACATAAGGTTTCAGTCACAAACTCCCAAGAGGCAGCTTCAGACTGAGAGCGTTCTGGCAAAAGCTTCCTCCACAGCCTGGGCACTGTAAAAATGTAAAGTTAGAATCCGGGCCTCACCTTCCCACTCTCATGAACAAGACTGGACCCGCTCCCAAGGTTGGCTCCTTGTCATCTTTCCGGGCTCTATTAACCGAAAGTGGGTTCTTTGTGCCTTTGCTTTCGCAACACCCTTAGCTTGTTTGTTTGTGGTATGATATAAACTTCACTAGGGCTGGCACTGCGTCCGTCTCTGCCCACTGCATTATCAACTGGGAGGACTCGCCTGCTAGAGCCAGATGCTCCCCAACTTAATTTTGTTTGAAAAAAGTAAATGCATCTCGCGGGAATCCGCCCTCTTTGGGGGCAAGGGCGTTGGCATGGACTCCTTCCTCTCATGTCGCCTACCCTGTGCTCCAGGCTGTCCTCAGGGTCCTCGTCGACCCTCTCAACCTGCATCACCCCGCTGGAAGAGGCCACTCCTTCCTCTCCGCTAATGCCTGGGACCACAGGAAGCCTTGCTCAAGAACCGCTCCTCAGCACCACCCTGTTCCCGGCCGTCGGGTCGTCCCCCCTCCCTTCCCCCGGAGGCTGAGGCAAGACTCCAGCCGCCTCACCTCCTTTCTCTCCAAGCCCCAGGATCGCCTGCACTGCCCGTCAGGCCACGCCCCTCATGCCACGCCCCCTCATGCCACGCCTTTCAGCACGAGCTGAGGAAGGGCGGAGGGAAGGGGGCGTGCCCTCGCCGTTCCCGGCCTCCTATTGGGCAGGTCTCCGGCTGGGGGCGGGGCTGCACCCGCAGCCCGAGCCCCCGTCGTTACTAACGGCCGTCTGTGAGGCTCCAGCCTTGATATGGTGAGGAGCGACACCAGCTCCAGCGACATGTCCGAGAAACGACAGGTCGGCCACAGCCAGGCCCAGCGGCTCCCCGAGTCCTTCAAAGGTGAGTCCCTCGTCCCTGGCACAGCCTCCCCGAGCCCAGCGCCGGGTACCGAGCCCTGCGCTGGCCGCGAGAACCCCGCCGACCGCCGGGTTCCGAAAGGCGCGTCTCCAGCTCACGGTGCGCGCTTCGCGGAGCCGCCCTCTTCTCCTTGGCCCCTGGCTCCTCGGGCTGGGAGATGGTGCCTTCGGGGTGCTGCTCGCGTGACAGCCAGGACGGCGCCCTCGCGCCGGGGGCGTGTAGCCTTTGCTCGGCACCCTGGTAGGCGGAGGTTCGCCTATCCTTCGGGTCCAAGGTAACAGGTGCCAGCGCTGCCTTATCTGGCGCGGTGCACGCGGGCCAGGGCAGGCCGTGGAAGTCAGGAGGTGGGAAGGGAAGCCGTCCCCCTGTGACCCAGTCGGCGGTGTGGGCAGAAGAGATTAGGGCTCCCCGTTGTTCCTTCCAGGCCCGCTGTCCGCCTCATTCTGTCTACGTTTGTCTTAAAGAGATCCTTTCTTCCAAGGAAAAGAGCTGGGTGGCTCAGCACTCCGCCGGGGCCTTCCTAGCCTTGAAGGCAAGAACTGTAAGAGGCCCCGCCCCATTCCTAGCCTCTGTGAAGAAATTAGAGCCCCAAAGCCAACTACCTCCTTGAGCCTTTAAATTGCGTAACTCCTTGGGGTCAGGAGGTGCCCAGTAAAAGATAATAAACCTCTCAGGAGTACTGCTATCCTCGCGGGGGCTTTGCTAATCCGAAGGAATTATTTCTAAAGATGGAATTTTAGAGAGGATGAAACAGCGGAAGAGATTTAGGAGGCTGAGCGGGCTTTCCCATCATCCAACAGAGAACGCTGTCATCTCTTCGGATTATTGGCAAAGCCGGCCTGTCCCCCACATCTGAGTCCCATCTCCTTGTCCAGGAACATCTATCCACCTTTGAGTCCTTATCGGGAGTATCACGGGAATTTCAGACGGCTCCAGAGTACAGTATAAAGAACCTACTGGGTTCCCATCCCTCAGTGTCATGCGTAAAAGCATGTTCGCGTGAATCCTTCTCTATACTTTACCCCTCCCCCCAAATTGGGAGTATAATAAAATTAAAGAGAGTAATTGCAAAACGGACAAAAGCCCACGCTTACTAGGCGAGGCATTCTGCTAAATATTGTGTAAATGTTATTTTATTGAATCCTCACAACTGATACTCAAAGAGATTGACCTTAGTCACACAGGATTAGTGGGGTCATATTTTAAATTCGTATTTCATTGATTCTAAAACTTGAACAGGAAAATACTGTCTAGTATTCCCTCTTCAGTAGTGGTCTGGTGCCTAGATAAAAGTGGGGGTGTGTTGGTAGTCTCTTTTACTTGTACCGGGACCACCGAAGTGGAAAATGGATTTGGAGCAGTGTCCTGGGAATAAAACGATCTCTGTACTTAAAGATCATTTTGTTTTCTTGGTCACAGACCAGTTTGGGTTTTAGGTCTAACTCCCTTTTCTTGGTTCTACAACTTAGCTGTTTTAAACAGAAATCTTTTAGAATTAGTGGAAATGAATGTGCTTTTTCTCAAGTGTATACACAAATGAACTTTTGCTTAGCTGCTTGATTTTGTCACTTCTTATTTTAAAAGCTTTACATTGTGTGTGTGTGTGTGTGTGTGTGTGTGTGCGTGTGTGCGTGTGTCTGTGTGTGTGTGCGCGCGCGTGTGGGCGCCTGCTCTCTCAAGTACGTGCACACACATATCTGACATGGCTGTCTTGTGGAGGTCAGAAGACAACTTGCAAAAGTAGATCTTTCCTTCCAACAAGTGTGATCCAGGGATAAAATTTAGATCATCCTTGTTGTCAGCAATCGTCTTTGTGGACTGAGGCATCTCACCTGCCCACCTTCATATATATATATGTATTTAATGGTAAGCTCAGATTTTACATTAGGAAGAAACCTGTTACTACAACGTATTAAACAGAATTTCTCAAGTGTGAATCATGTTCCAAACATGGCTGAAAAACTTTACAAACATTGAATTGCAATCCTGCGACAAGGAAATGTCTTTATTCCCCATCTTTCAGTAAGGAAACTGAGTCAGAGTGATAAAATTGCAGACAGCCCAAAAAAATTCAGAACCAAGTTTCCAAGCCAGGCACTGATTTTCTGAACCATTTTCCTGATCCTACAGATGTCTGCAAAACAGGTACCAAAGTCTAGGGTCTGGTCCAACTTCAGGACTTCACTGAGGCTGAGGCAGTAAACAAAGGAAGCCCAGAGGAACGGAGGGTGAGTTAGGACTCTCAGATAAAGCCACTCCAGAGGACTGCTTCTGATAGAAGCCGTGGAATTACAAAGCCGGGACTCTTTGTGTCTTTATAAAGGACTTTTCCTCCATAGATAAATATGACCAAGCCTGTCCTTTAACCTAAAGCCAGTGCATTCAGTTTGTAATGGAACAGTGCAGATGGATTGCAAAGAAATGTGTTGTTGCAAAGAGGAGCTGTGTCAACAAGATAAGTCCCTTTGGGAGGACCTCTTGCAAATAAGCAGAACCATGGGATTGATGTGTTTATTTCAGTTGTTATGGCTGAAGACAGAGAAGTTAGAGGAACAAGAAGTAAAAAGTGTGCACTGGTTCTTTGTTACACGCTTGCTCCTTCTTTTTCTGTCTCTGTCTACATTCTGGGACTACTGAAGAAACTTGAGCCTCTTGCTCTTGTTTGATATGACCAAGAAAATGCCTTCAAGTACGAGACAATAAAAATGATGCTGTCCGCTGAAGTGAGCAGTGATGGGAAGGTAGCATAGTATAAGGAAAGGAGAGTGTCATTAGAGTGAAAAGCCTGGGGTGTGGTCTCAGGACCATCACTGACTACCTGGGTCACTCAGGCAAGTTCCTCAACTCCCCCAGAGTTGTTTCCTCATCATACAGTCAGGCACAATCTCACTGCCCTACCCCGCAGGACTTTAAGGATCAAATAAAAGATATACAGATATACATAGGAGGCAGGGAGGCCTTGTGATCACAGATAAACACTAGGGAAACCAGGAATGTTAGACACACAGGGTTGTCTCTTCAAAGAGAGGAATGTGCAACCTGTTTTCCACCCAGAGGGCTGAGGGCACAGGTGGTTAAAAGCTTGGTGACGTTTGCACTACCTGTGTGGCCAAGATCAGGCCCTCCCCCAGACCCTTATCATGAGCTTGTTTTCCTCAGTCTGCTGACCCCATCTTTATGGAATACGTCACATGTAAGAGTTTCAGTGTAGTCGTGTCACAAGCTCTGTGACATGGTAATTGAGCTAATTTTCATCAGGAAATATTTTCACAGAATTGTGTTGTGGTTGAATATGCCTAAATCTGAAGTCAGATTCTGAAAGTTTGAGCCGACATTGACTACTGAGTGGTGTTAACCAAACTGCCTTCTTATCTGTCACAGAATACCGTTCTACCGGCCTTAGTGGTCTCAGAGACCCTCACACATATATGTGAATGTTCTTTTGAAAAATTGAAAAACTATGATGGGATTACTTCGTGGAAAAAACAAAGAATAAAAAAGATTAATGATGGCTAGACTTGCAGAAACTATATTCACTTCCCATTGAGTCTGCAGGTAGAGGAAAGTGTGGACAATGTGCACACAGATGGCCTGACAAAGTTTAGAACTAATTTACTGCCCTGTCTGTGATCTATTCCTCCCCCTGAGATGGAATCCCCAAACAGATTGTTAGTCTTGATATTTTCTCCATGGTACATAGGTCCCAGAAGGCAATTCACCCAATAAAACACTGATTCCTTGTGTGGTGGTGTGAATAGGCTCATGTTTAAAAGCTTGGCCCACAGGGAGCAGTCTTAGGAGGTGTGGCCTTGATGAAGTGGGCGTGGCCTTGTTGAAGGAAGTGCAACGTTAGGGGGTGGGCTTTAAGGTGCCCCTTCTGCTGCCTGTGGGTCAAGCTGGGGTCTCCCAGCTCTTTCTCCAGCACCATGTCTGCCAGCATGCCCTCCTCTGTGAGGATAATGGACTAACCCCCTGAAGTGTAATCCAGCCCCAGTTCAATGTTTTTCTTTATAGGACTTGCAGCGGTCATGGTGTCTATTCACAGCAATAGAACCGTAACTAAGACCTTAGAAGCTTTTTAATAATGACCTTAAAATTGTACTGATAATAATGGTTACTACTTGAATAGTCTTTAAGTGTAAAGCATTTTACATATTTTCTCATTTGGTCTTCATAACACTGTGAAATAAGTTGTTCTTTCTTACATTTTACTCATAAGAAAATGAAGTGAAAAAAAGAAAATAAAATTAAAAAAAAAAGAAAATGAAGTGGTAGGATTGGAATCTGGTACCAAATTGTCAAGCTCTTATCTGTGTCTTGGTTCATCAAAGGGAGAATTAGGAATCTAATGGTAAAGGGTCCTATGCTTTTTATTTCCATTTTCAAATGAACATAGTGTTACCCTCTAAAGACATACATACATACATACATACATACATACATACATACATACATACATACATTTATTCATTTATTTTTGAGACAAGATTTCTTGTGTAGTCCTGGCTGCTCTGGAATTCACTCTGTAGACCCCTCAGGCTAGTCTCACAGTAATAGAGAGCTGCCTGCTTCTGCCTCCCACACCACGATGCCTGGCCAAAGACTTATGAGAATATCTGAACTATGGGTATTTTTAAGATGTGTAAATAAAAGAGCTTTGAGGAGAAAGAAGCGTTAACATAAGGGTGTGCCGTGTCCTGTTTGTATGTATCTTGGGCCAAGTCTAAATGTAACGACTTAAGTGCTCCTCAGCAAACTGCTTTTTTCTTCTCTGAAGGCTTCTGTGCTTCTCCACAGGGGCCATGTTTAGCCTTTCCTAAAAGGACTGGGGAAAAAAATCTGTGGGGATTTGTTGTTTCAGAACACGCACTTGAGGAGAGCAGCTGTCCCTTTAGGACAGAGAATGGTTCTGCAGTGCGCTCTGGAACCCTTCTGCTGACATGTAGTTTCAGTCCTGTATGTATTAGGTTCCTTTTCTCTTC